ACAGGCAGTTGCTGTCCATTTGAAACTTAGATTCATATACACATTGTGTTTTTTGTTGATGTAACATGGTAAGGCAGAAGCTGTTACTCTAACAATAGGTTAGCTTAAAATGATTTTGACGGTTTATTTCGCTTAGCATTGTGCGGTAGGGTTAATTCTAACGCTAGATATTCAAACTACTAGTTTTGTTATTTATTAAAGACTGACTTGGCTGATATCTTTCATCATGGTAAGCGCCTTAAAAATAGTTTAAAACATTTAGACTTTATTGGGCTTATGTATATTGAAGAGTTGTTTGTCAATGTGATTAAGTTCCAAAGGAAGCTCTGGCATATCGTGGTAGTATATCATTTAAAATATTTCAGCTTTATTGGAGTTATAGTGGTATTATGTCAGTTATAACATTTCCTTTCGGGCTTATAATGGTATGATCCCATTTAAAAATATTTCAACTTCTTGGGACTACAATCCGTTAAACCGGTTCTTTGCCAGGCTTTAGAATATCATGCTCACTGTCGCCTTTTTTTATAATTTAAAGTCCAAAAATGTAATAATAATAATAGACTCTCAGCGTCGGGTCAATAATTTCGTTTTAGCAGCTACTAGTAACCGAAACGCTATATTCGAATTACGAGTCCCAAATCTTTTTTCTTTCCTTCCTTTTCTAAGTATATTCCCATGTGTTCACATTATTAGTATTAGGGTAAGTCATTAATATAAGATATGATATGATTTTGTATTTCTACACATCTGCAGAATCAAATCAAAAGTTAACCTACGTAGCCACATTTATTGACCAGCCATGGCAGAGTGAACCTAAGTGCTGACATATTAACACTCAATAAAACACTACAACTTTATGAGGCTTCGATAGCGATTCAAATACACAACACGAATAATGTCCTGAACAAACGTTTTAACAAGTTCGAGGGGGTTTCTGATAAATTATAGCTGCTTTCAATAGCGCCGTTTCACCCACGACTTTAAGGGAACGTTTGTTAATCACAAACCCCAAAATAACTCGTACCCTCTTCGCCCTCGCTATTTAAATCGGAGATCGGATGGTGACCAAACCGGACCACTGCAGTGGGTACGGCCAATCAAATAATGCATTAGGTCTCTACGTCACATATTCTCTTTTCAATTTCACCTCTGGTGAAAAAGAAAAGAAAGCTTTAACACACATATATATATACAGTCATTAGACAGTTGGTCCGCTGTCTAATATCGAATAATGAATTTGATGATTTGTCATAATATTATTCTCGTACCTAAATTAATTTAGGTTACTATATAGTGTAGTAAAATAGACTCAAAACACCACAGGAATAAACATTCTTTTTAACTGTTCAGAAGCTACAAATAATGATTTCATTGTCATTACAACCAACAAGCATTCTCTGCTCTGAACAATTAATAGAGCTTCTTTTTACCAATGTTTCTACGGGTTCGGCCTCAAGTAGTTGCATTAACGACCTATTATAAGGAATAGAAAAAAATCATCAGCCAATGAAAGAACAATGCAACCAGGTTGGTTGTCTAGAAGTATCAGAAAAAAACTCGGAAAAGAGACGAAGGTTGTTTTCTTCACATATTGTGTGAATGTCCGCAGATAGTGTAGCACAAGCTATCTACAAAATGCTATTTTCGGGTGGGCGGGGGGAGGTGAGGCCTAGAAACTTGCAGCAGCTGCTTATCATCATGAGAACGTTGGTGACGTGGAAGTATGACTCACGTAGTTCTTGACTTGTGTCCCCTCAGGACGATGACTCTTGCAGCTAAGTTATCTTTGTTTAATTAATATTTCATAATTTATATTTCCCGAACTGTCTTTAAGAAGTGAATAATTAAATAGTAAGATAGGCAAATGCTGTGTGTGAATAACAGTCAGGAGGAAGAAAACATGGGAGATAAATAGCTCTTAATGACACTCTGGATACATCAAGATTTTGATACAGATCAAAGCACCGGAAATGACGTCATGATGCATCACCAATTTAAACTACTTTCCTAAAAAAGAAGATACGATAACATCTCATATCATATTACGAGGCTGAAACTGTGTTTAAAATGTTTTAATTAGATAGACAGAATTCTAATAAATTAACACCTCATGAAGGCATTATTACAGAAGAAAAATCACGTAGGAAAGATGACAGAGTCCAAGCAATATTTTGGAGAAAGAACTCACCTAGTGCGGACTCCTTCTTGATGCTGATATTTAGTTATTTCTCCCCATTCAATTTATAAAAAATAAGAAAAAAATCATACAGAATAAATAGAATTATATTAATAATTACACAAAGGTGAATGGTTTATTCCATGTTTCTCACTGAGGAGCTAAGTATTTGTGTTTTAATGACGTCATGTTTTTTTCTCTTGAACTAACTTACATAGGGTATATTTTGTCACTATTATTCTCAGTTATTCTGTGACAATCATCCAGTCAAGTGGGGCTATTAATTACACTTATTTTACCATAATTACTTTAAGTTGGCGGATCGGTTATTTTATCACGATTATATCATTTTAGGGGGTCTAGTACTTATGATTATTGTATGATAACTATATAATCTAATCAAAAACATCTTAAGTGTAAAAAAAAAAGTGCACCCAAAAAAAGGATTGAGCGTGCGACTTAAAGGAATGAAATAAAATCTAGCTACCAGTTTGGCCGCCACACTTATAGCATTGATAACCATGACTATTACCTACCTGACAACCCATTTATTTATGACAGTCGTCTTACTCAAAACCGCAAATGAAAATCACATACGCAGTAGGATAGTACGAATAAAATAATGTCTATGTTAATTACTGCGGTTTAAATGGCTATAATAAGAGAGTATCGAGAAGCGGTCAACATCAGTTAGTGTTAGTGTAATGAGAAAAGCAAGCTCGTGATAAGTTTGAATATCCGGCGTTTTTTTGTTGTTTTTTTTTGTGCTAGTTTTCTGGATTTTTAGTCAGAAAAAAAGCGTGAGAACTAAACTTAGTAGACAGTGCTGTGTGATCCTATATAATAATATTTAATCAACATAGGAAGAAGGTTGTGGAGATACAACAAAGATATAGCTACCTTTCGTTCATAGTATACAGATACTGGTTAATATACCCATTTCGGTACAAAATGTCAAGGGATTTCGATTGTATGCCATTTGGTCGTCATTGGAGAGAACATGTGGGTAATGAATATACATGATAATCTAAACATTCATAAAGGCTGAGTGGGGAAATCGAAGTGAATGGGGATTAACAGTCTATTAAATAATAAATTAAAATTCAGTTTAATGTTTGTTGAAAGTTTCCTTACTGAGTAGATGACATAATTTATTCGTATATATTTGGAATGCCCCCTAGTGGGACAGCGGTAAGTCTACGAACTGAAAACCTTGAAATCGGGGGTTCGATTCTCCGTGGTGAACACAGCAGATAGCTCAACGTGACTTTGCTCTGAAACAAACAAACAGATTTGGAAAAATCTGATCGGGTTTGATATTTTTCTGTCTCTCGTGAAACCTTATGACTTCCGATTACAACTAAGAAGCCGGTCCCTCGTATTAGGAGGCATATTATGGACTCTTCTGGCACATTTGTCTTAAATCCAACATGCTGTATGTTCTTACTTATTGTTAACTTCCAGGTCTAGATGTATATATATATATTTTACACATTACAATACAATGTTATACTA